ATTTGGGGAATGGGCAGATCTTGTTGAGAGCTGCCCTTTACGCACCAAATAAATGAGGCTGTTTTATGCCCTATGATATGAAGACATGTGCATTATATAAAACTAGTGTTGATACCCGTGCGATGCACGGGGTATATTATATAATATTTTTTATTTAAATATTATAAAATTATTAATGACAATATGAAATTATAAATCTCCAAAATACTCTATCCAGTAATAATATGACATTTATTTATTTAATATTATTGTTATTACACATTTATATTGTATATTTTGACTATTTAATATATAAATTTATTATTTATAAGTTTCTAAAATATTTTAAATGTATAAGATTATATGATATTTGCGTACAAATTAATTGTATGTACATATAAAATTGTTGTTTATCATAGTCTTGTAATATTTTCAACAATTCATAATTTGCACATTGCCTGATAATTAAGTAACGTTTAACTCTTAATATTTATCTTTTGCTACAATTATTAAGTGCATTAAATTTTAAAAGCTTTGATAGATAGACTTTTAATCTTTAGTAACTTTAATCCTGTTGTTACATAGAAATTAACAACAACCAAATTGGGGTGTATTTTAAGTAAATCTAAATGTTTAGCGACGAAAAGCCTGTATATTATATCTGGAAATACAATTTGTAGCAGGGTGGTATTCTTGTCTGTCTGGGAAATTCTCTATTTCCCTTTTATATTTACATACCATAATTATCTGTACAATAATCATTACATTTTGAAAGGTCAAAGGCGGTCCTTGGTGGTTTCTCTTGATAGCTTGCCACTTGGATAAACGTAATGATGAATTATGCTGAGTTGTCGCCGCCTTACCATGCTGAGCTGGCATGTTATAGATATCGGTCCACCCAATTATAACCGGTACGTTGTGGCTGATATGTAGTAACCGACATGTGTCGACCGACATGTGTTAACCGACATGTGATATCGGTCAACTTAGTAAGGATGTCGGTTTCTGCTGAATCTTCATTGTGTAGTTATCTGGAAGTTGGTAGAAGTGTCTCTTGCTCACACGAACTCTAATCACCATCATATTGATCTCAATCAACGGATTAGTGTCGCTTAATCCGACTTACAGAAAATGATATCAACAAATCCTTATGCAACACACAAATTTTTAATGGTTAAATATTTTATTTTTGTGTTTTCATTTTTTATTTATATTTATTTTTTTTAATTTATTTTTTCAATCTATATAATGAGTTACATAATATCTATTCGAATATTTTAATATATTATGTATTTCCATAATTACCAAGTGCAATAATTTATATTATTATACATTGCTATTTTATTATCTTTTTTTTTCATTTATAAAATAGTATATAAGAAAAACATATATTCTAAAAATTGAATAGCTTTTTAATGTACATAGATACTTTTGAGGTAAATTTATAATTTTGAATTGCACCCGACCATCAAATTTTATTTTTATTAGTATATTATTTAAATTTTTCAATAGTATTATCACTGCATATGATATATTCAATGGGATATATGTACCTTTTTATAGTTAAATTGACTACATTTCAGAAAATTTTATTAATATTTTTAATCATTTATTAAATTAGTATGATTTAAACATAGTTATTTTGATTATTTTATTAAATATTTAAGTGCTTCAGAATAATGAATATAATTAATTAAATTAATATCTACAACTATATATGAAATATATTTAATCAAATTAATTTCCTTAATAATGTTTTGAATTGTGTCAATAAGTTACTATTAAATTAATATAAGATCTAAAAATATATCTAGTTATTGAGTGTATAAAAATTAATTATGTTTTTTTGGCATTATATTTACTAATAAATAAATATTAATTAAATGCCAAATATAGTCGAAAAACTTTCCCGCCCAAAATCATGCCAATTACGGTAATAAGGATTCGTCCATTATATAGATATAGATAAAGATTATTTTTTCTATATTAGTATATTTTTTCCTTGAGTCTTCGAAAAGAAGTTTCCCGGTCACATTTCAGAAAAGAGAGGGAAAAATGGGAGTAATGGGCCATCAAATTTTTGCACGTACGCACATTTCTCGATGCTTATAGGGCAAAAGGACCCTTCAAATACCTGTACAAAGACGTTCAACTCTTTTCATACTCACGCAGTCACCACACACACTCACACACACACACACAGAGAACTTGCGAGATGGAGAGAAGCTTCAGGCGAGAGCGCGCTACGGATAGCAAAGCGGCTTCAACAATCACGGAAGAAACTGGCGGGTCGACTCAGGAGAACGAGCCTGTCTCGAAGAGTAGGAACATACGTTCGTGTTACAGAGCACTCGAAAATCGCATCAATGGTACTTTTTTTTTTTTTGTCATGTTTAATCGATATGGGCTTCCAATATTTATTTTTTTTTTTCTTTTAATGGCATCTGACTTTTGTTCTGGGTCTTATTGAAGTTCAATGTTTGTTCTGTTTCTGTTCTTGATTTATTTATTTTATTTTATTTTTTGAAAATTTTGTTTGTTGCAGAGGGAAAAGATGATTTGGCCAGTGGGGATTCAGAAAATTTCATGACCATTATGAAAGAAGTGGAAAATATTCACCAACATGGTAATAGTCTCTTGTCTGGCTCTTTGTGCGAGTAGAACTATGTAGGTATGCTTGTGGGACTGTGTAGTTTTTGCTCTTTTCTTGTGACGATGGTTAAAGTTGAAATTTTGGGTTCATATGTTTTTTTCCCCTTCTGTTAACTTGTAGATTTTTCCATTTTTTTTTTATTCTTTTTTCTCCCATTTTGATGTGGTTGTCCATTGTTGCCTTGTTGGTGTTCGTCGTCTATTAAAAGTTCGAATCTTTTCGACTAACTACTCTTGTAACTGAGCTTCAAGTGGTGTGACAACAGTCGATTTGTCTCTAATATTGGCTTTGCAGTTGATAGTTTTATCCTTGACATAAGCATTTCATAAAGAAAACCTGAATTTCTAATGAATGTATATGATTTTTAATTTACAGTGAAAAAGCCTCGAGAGCAAGTAGCAGATGCAGAAACTTTGCTTGGGCTTACGAGGAACTTGGCAGCCTGTGTTAGAACACATACTAGTGGTGGTGTCACTCCAGCTGAGTTTATTTCCGGTTTGATCAGAAAATTTGAGCAGCAAAATTCTACAAAGTGGGCTTCGGAGAATTCGCAATGTATATCATGGCAAACTATTGGCCGTTTGGTGTCACCTGTTTTCATGAATGGATCGGGGTGCAAAACAATGTAAGCATCTGTGTACTGTATCTATAATGCACATGTATCTGCCTGGCCATTGTGGTGTGTATATTAATGTTTTAGTATTTCATGATTAATAGGAATGGACCTATGAGAAATACGCTTAAGCCAAGGAAGTTGACGGTTCGTGCAAGACGATCGAGGCCAGTAGGGAAAGCTCATCCTAAAGAGGTAGCATTGATTTTTTTTTTTATTTTTTTTTTTAACTTTTTACCTTTTAATTTAATAGTCTATTGTAATCACTAATCAATTGCTTCAATATATGGACTCTTTTCTTTGCAAATTTGATGTCTCTACACTCTACAATGTAATCTTCTACTTGGCTTTTATGCATTAACTGAACATTATGTGGTTTTCTTAACCTTTTTATACCTTGAAGAGGTTACCTTATGTTTGCTTTGTTATTACTTTTTATTGACAGCTTGAGAAAGATGCTGAGGTGGTGACTGACACAGACAAAAACCTGCGAGTGATGTTTGAGATACTAAAGAAAAACAAAAAAGTTAATGTCGAAAATCTGATCTTGAACCGAACTTCCTTTGCTCAGACGGTGGAGAACTTATTTGCACTATCTTTCTTGGTGAAAGATGGAAGGGTCCGTGTGGATGTGGATGAATCTGGTTCTCAACTTATTGGTACACAAACTTTCCCCAAAAAAGAAGAGAAAAGAAAAGAAAATTGTTCTTGATCTTCCTCATTCATCTGGGAGTTGTTTCCTTCTTAAATCGCCCATTTATCTTTTTATTTTTCAGCAGTTTTTCATTCATTCCTATTTTTCTCTTTACTTTTACTCGTTTTCAGTCCCAACCAATGGTCCAAGTGCCGAAGATATCAAGAATCGAGTCGTTGAAAACCACCAATTCATCTTTAGGTTTGATTTCAATGATTGGAAGGTAATTGATATTGTTAATAAGTCATCAAGATTATCACCATTCAATATCTATGTAGTTGAACTTTTCACATTGTCAAAAAAAGTGAATTTCTCGTGAAATGCAGCTAATGAAGACTACGGTGAAGGAGGGAAATGAACTTATGCCACAAAGGGACACATTTGATAATGCGACCAATGCTAAAGCAAAAACCGAACCGTGCAAACAAGAGCCTCCCATACCAGAAGGAGTACCGTTCTATTCTTGTTCTGTTCGCACAGCGCCTGTTAAGAAGTTCTCAAAGAACAATGGGCTCACAATGGGGGGTTCTTTTCTGTTTGGAATTGATGAGGGCATAATTGGAAATTGGAACTGCAAGCGCAAGAGAACGGTTTTGTAAGTTGATGGTCACTACTAAGCTTGTCGACACCTTTTGGCTTGTATATATGCTTTTTGGGAGAAGCTGATTATATCTTAACTCAGACTGTAGCTTTTGAGCTTCTGCATTGATAATCTCTTTTTGTGTATTCAGGCCTTTTAACTGTTTTTGAAACTGGGATTTTAGTTGAACTTAACGTTTGTTAACTTTATTTGATGGTAGCTTTCACAAGTTTTTGGAAGCAAGTGTTTGCTAACTTTATTTGATGGTAGCCTTCACAAGTTGCTTCATCATCTACAACCAGCACATCTCTCCAATCCTGCAGAAATGCTTTCCAAAGAGCGGAACGAACTCCCAAACGAAGGGCTTCATCTTGATCAAAACAACAGGGATTAAAGATCTGCCACTTCTTGCACACCAAATTTTGATCTTTGAAAAAAGCAACAAACCCTAAACAATAACCAACTCCTGGGATCACACAAGCACAAGCACAAGCACAAGCACAAGCACTGAGATAAAGAGCCCGAAGAACCACCAACCTCCCAAAATCTAACAGAACCAAATTCAGCCCATTCCCCTCTTTGCCCTAATAATCAATTCCCTCTTAGAAATTCCTTTTTTTTTTTTTTTTTTTTCTAGAGATCTATATATTTCTTGTTTTCCACAAACAACCCAAAATGTAAACAGTAAGCTCAACTCTATGGTAGTTCGCTTTAGGTGTTTGCCCGGCGTGTAGTGGTGTTGAGCTTTCCCGTCCAATGGGGAGGGCTTTAGCTTTTGTTTGTTTTAGATTTTTGTTGTTTTTGTTGTTTGTTTCGTATTGTTATTGTGCATTTATGTTTTTTCTCCTTTCTATAGTGTGTATTCTCTCATCGGAGAGCGTGTGTTCTCGCTCGATTCACATCCAATCATTACGTGAAAAAAGAAATCATTATAATGACTGACAAATCAGTCTTTTACATAAAAATAATGCTAGTTTGAGATAATGTATTTGATGTAATTGCTGGCATAATGATGTAAAAGCATTTATAGTCGTTGATTTAAACGTTATGTGATGTGTAAAATCGTGTTATATATGTTTTATGTCTAAACATTATAAACCATTATATTTGTGTAACATGATCCCCACCCAAAGGTATTATTTTCAATAAGAAAAAAGCTACTTGGTACAATTTTCTTGTACAACATTTGAAATGTTAACAAGATGTGGCTACACCAGAGATATAAATAAATGTATGGCTAAGATTTCACAACAAGAAGTAGCTTTTTCCTTTTCATAATTATGTATATAACATGGGGAAATGCTACAGTCCCGTTACGGAACCATTCCGTCAGAATTTGTAGTCGTTAGATCATCATGTAATTGTCGGGGATAGTTGATCTAACGATTACAAACACCGACGGAATTGTTTCGTAACGAGACCGTAGTATTTCCCTATAACATTAATGTTAAACTAAGATCAAAGTATCATTAACTGATGACAACAATGATATCAAGATCACAAATTCTATAGCACAGCCAACAACACATAACAGCAAACAACTTTGAAGATCCTTGCCTAACAATCAATTTTCAACTAACCACCACCTCACAGCTTGTTCTTCTTTTGTATCCAATTTTTCAAACAAAATAAAGGAAAAGAAAAGAAAAAAAAAAATCCCGAAAAGTCCCAAACGTGGAATTGTTTCTCAATCCAGCTTCACCGATGAAAACAAATAGTGCACGAACCAAAACGAGGAAAGAAACCCGACCGTACCTGTCGCCAGCATAACCGCAAGCACCATAAACAGCGAGTACCCGAGATAAAGCGTGGCCGAGACGGGCCCACTCAAACTCTTGAGGTCAAACACCAGATAGTTGACCGAGTAGAGAAAAATGTATATAGCAACCGAGCCCGAGGCGAAAAACGACTTCCACCACCACCGCCAGTCCTCCACACAGAGATGCATGTACGTTAGCACGAGCGACACCTCAGCACATACCACCACCAAAAGCACCATAACAATGAGCAAAAACCCAAACACGTAATAAACCCGTCCCATCCAAATGCTCGACATTATAAAGAAGAGCTCAATAAAAAGCGTCCCGAAAGGAAGTGTGCCTGCCCCAAGAACCAAAAGCCAAGATGGGTACTTCTGAGGCGGGATTTCACGAGGAATCTGATTGGTCCGGACGGGATACTCGATATGGGGCGCCCGTGCACCGAAATACCCACCCACGAGCGTGAGTGGGACCGAGATACAGAACCAGAGTAAGACGAGCACGACAAACAGGGAAAACGGGATTGCGCCAGTGCTGTGGCTGCCCCACAATAGAAAATTGAGAGTCGTGAGGATCACAAACGAGATCCCGGGGAAAAAACACGCGGCCTGCCACGAAACCGAGACCCATCCCTTTTTATCCCCACAGAAAATGGTTCGCCACATGCGAACAGCCACATACCCGGCAAGAATCCCAAGCACCATGTAGAAAAACAGCATGCCGGTTATCAAAGTCCCCCGAGAGGCAGGAGACATAAACCCTAGGGCAGCAAAGAGAATCGTAACAACAGCCATCCCGAGTATTTGGACACCATCACCCACCATCACGCAGAGGAGAGATGGGCTGGCCGGGGCCCGGAACACGTCTCCCACAACGAGTTTCCATCCCGAGAGCTCCTCATTCATCTGGGCTTGGGCCTCTTTGTCGAGCTCTTCGTATCGGGTGAGGTCCCGCCTGACGGTCCTCAGGAAAATGACGAGCACTATACCGGCCAAGAACGTGATCACCATGAGTGAGTTCAAAATCGAGAACCAGTGCACTTTCGCCCCTTCCATTTTGAGATACGCGTCCCACCTGGACGGCCACTTGATGTCATCCCTCTCAACGAAAGAGACCTCGTACGTGAAGGAGACAGGCTCGTTTTCCTTTATGGGCATGGCCACCGTGCCTGGATCACAGTTGATCGGGACCGGGTATTTATCGTACATGTTCAAATTTTTCAACGAGTTCGGGTCGTGCCGGAAGCTGCATGGGACCACCTCGAACCCGACAACCATGTACCCGGGGGCATTCAAACCTTCATTCTTGACCGTGGGGAGAACCTCAACTGCATCCCCAGTGCCCATAACATTAGCCACATTCGTCTCCTCATATTTATGAACAAGAACTGTGAATTTGAGGTGATTGAATATGTAATAAGTGTCCTGGACCTTGACACCAACCGGGTACCCTGTCCACCTCATCATGAAGTTATCCTTTTTGGTGTACCGGATAGCCGGAAGATTGTCGAGGATGACGTTGACCTGGTACATCTCGTCTATCCTCTTGGCGAGGAGCTTGAACTCGTCGGCCGAGAGAGGTTTGGTTTGGCAGATGAAAATTTCGGTGTCGTTGGTGTACATTTTGAATCGGTAGGGAGAGTTTTCAATCCGGTCGCCCATGAGGAGCTCGCCGAGATTCTCCCGGCTGTCCTTGATACCGTCCTTGGGGCGGCAGAAGGGGAGGTCGTAGTAGCTGAAGGGGATCTCGGTGTCGATGGAGGTCAGCGAGTTGACCTTCATGTTTAGGTAGTCTCCGATCCCGTACTTGTGCGGGTAGCTTCCGGGGAGGTAGAAGCCCCGGCCTGATCCGGCGAGGGCGGCGAGTGTGACGAGGAAGAGGGCGGCGAGTGTGATGGATTTGTGGTGGGGTAACATGGTTTCTAGGGTTTACTTCGGCGGATCTCGGCGGGGACGATCGGGAAATCGGCAACAGGTTTTCCTAATTTTTTTTTTTTTCCTTTTTTGGGCCTGTTTTTCTGTTGATAATATCAAGATCTGGTCTTGATAACGATAGTGATGAAAGTGACTGGATCAAATGATGAATTTGAGAAAACAATGCGGGATAGTACGAGAAATGTCACCGATTGAACGAGGAAAACGAAAATGAAGGTGCAGAAAACAGAAAAGGGACAGTGTTGAATCTTGGTGCGATATGAAAATGCGTGTGTTTATGTTTATGAGCTTGCGAATTCAAGAGCGCATACCTGAACGATCTTCCTCTCTCTCTGCAGAGAGTACACAGATCTGGAAATTGACTGTGAAGGAGAAAAAAAGAAGAACGTGTGTGTGTGTGTGTTTTTCTATCTGTTTTTTTTTATCGTTTGTGCTGAGGCTGTAAACGGGCAGAGTCACTATGATTGAATTATTATTTCTTTTAACTGTTTGAGCTCGTCGAGCTCGACTAAAAAAAAGTACAATCGCTCGAGCTCGACTCAAAATCAAAATACTCGAGCTCGGCTATTGTATGTATAAATAAAAATAGTATGTGTGTGGTAATTTTCTAAAGAAAAAATGGTAATGTAATGGGCCTAAAATAGGAGGATCCAACCCCTTCTCTTTCTCTTATGTGCTAA